CAACTTGGAGACTTCAACGCAGAGTTTGAAAAAACGCCGAGGCCCCGGGCCCAGAATTCAGGCGAAAGTCTGTCTCAAAATATGAGTTTTACTACCTAATATATTCCTGCTTTAAACGATCATGTCGGTGAGTGAAATATGATACCATGTTGACGCCCACTTGGAGACTTTAACGCAGAGTTAGAAAAACTTCGAGGGCTCAGGCCCAGAAAATACTGAACTCACTTTGATTCATTTCTTCATTACCTGTCTCTCATTCTGTTGAGTCCATATTCATGTAATTGAAGTCCACCATTAGCACGAGGAATTTTCCAAAATTCCTGGAGTGATAGAAAGGTATCTTTTTCAAATAATCAATTATCTGCGTTCCTCGATATATTTAGAATACGATTATTCCAGAATATTCCTTTTGAATATTTTCGTGTTTTTGTAATATTTTTTTATTTTGACAAAGAGACTCAATGTCTATACTGCAAAGTTGCAGCGTACTAAAATAGACTGTTCACTTTTAAACCGCGCGTATTTTATACCCTCACTGAAAAAAAAACACATTGGATCTAGAGTCCAGAATCTTGAAAACATTGACACGAAAAAGGACTCTTGATTCAATCAGATTTAAGCTTAAATCAAAAGGAAATCCGCTCAAATCAAGAGGCTTGGTTCTTGATCTAAGCAAAAATCCGATTGAATCAAGAGTATTTTTTCTTGTCGATGTTTTTAAGAGTCTGGATTCTAGATCCAATGTGTTTTTTTCCAGTGCTGTTGTGAAGCCGAAGTACTGAAAAAGTGTCATTCTTCAGACAGCGCGTGCGGCGAACCTTTTAAATTAATAATCCCAAAATTTAAGAAAATTTAGAAGCTTCTTCTAAAGGATTTTTTTAAAACTCCGGGTGAAATTCCCGCCCTTGCAAAGTTTTTCATGGGAAATACAGACAATTCTCTGCAAAAAACATCGAAAGTGTCTGTGCGGCGAAAAGTTTCGTGCGAAAAACGCGGCAACAACGCACCGGATTTGCGTTTCGTGCAATCTGAGTTTGACCGCGATCTTTTCGCTTTGTGCAACGGCAACGGCCGAATCGTCCACTCGTGTCATCGGAATCGTCGCCCCTCTGACGTGAGGCCGTATCTCGATTTTCGCACGGGCCCCAGAAAACATGCATCAGTATGTAAAACACAGTGGCGTGGCGTGCTTTGCGATGTATCGATTTATCTGCCATTCAAACCTATGGAAAAGGATCGATTTTCAGGGTGTTCGTAACGAACACCTTAATTATCGATTCTTTACCGTAGCTTCAAATGGGGAAATATCGATATATCTCGAAGCCACTGGTAGAACAGGGCTCACGTGGAAATTGAGATACGCTCTCACGTCGATCGTATTAACTGCCCTGCCACGGAAGAACGCCGCGAGAGTTTTATACGTTGTCAGATCTTCTTTGATAAAATATGAATTCTCTCGGAAACTTGGTATGGGAATATTTTCCATCCAGTTTTCCTATAAATTTTGTCCGTAATTTGATATAAATGTTTTTGAAAATTCCCGGGGGAAACATTCCTCATCTCTCTGAAGAATGCAGATTTTATCGGAAATTTGGCATTATTCGTATATTTAAGCGACGTTCCTCCTAAGCATGGCCTTACGGTGGCTCATGGAGTTGTAGAAGTCGCGGTTCACCGTCACACCGACCAACAGGAAAGGACATCGATGACCATCGGCGTGTGAGATTCGTCGGCGATCGTTCGTGATAAACCCAACGATCTTATCGAACAAAACGGACATTACGTTTCCTCCATTTATTTAGCGTTTAAAGAGATTCTCATGCGTGATTTTCTTCTCCCTTTTTTTGTATTTTCTCTTTCACATCATCTTTATCTCTCTCCTTCTCCTCCTCCTACTATATCTTCTTCCTCTCCTACATCTTTCCCCTCTTATTCTTCAACCCCTCTTTCACTTCTCTCTGTCTTCTTCTTTTCCTCCATCTCCTCGTTATTCTTCTTGATTCTCCTCTTCTTCACGTTCTCGTCTTCCTATCCTCTCCTTTTTCTTCTCTCTCATCTTTTTTATGTTCATCATCCTCATTTTTCTCTTCATCTTCTTTTACCTCATCTTCTTATTCTTCTTCCTCCTCTATTTCTCATTTGCCTCGAGTTTTCTCTCAGGTTTCTTCGTTTTCTCTCAGTTTCCTCTTTATGACATTACATCTTGGTCCTGATCCACACACGTCGTTTTTGAACTTTAAAAATTCCAACCCTGAATCATAAATAAAACGTTTCGCAGTTCCGTATCGACGGTGAAAATTCCAAACCTCGTATCTCGTTTGCGGTGTTCAAAAATTTCCACGCCTATTAAATATTTTAAGGAAGAACAAAATATTATTCCCTGACGCTCTTTCAGAAGTCGCAATCCAAGGTATGTGGTTTGGAAGTTTCGCCGTGCACATATTCAGGGTCGCCGGGGGTGTGGAAAATCGGGAAAATAAGGGAAAGTCAGAGAATTGCGACGACCGGGCAGGGCCGGATTATCCGGAGTTCCTGGAATTTTGATAAAATTTTGAGATCAGGACTTTTGTGGACCCTGTATACGACAATGTCCGTGATCTCAAGAGCTTTGATATCAATGCTTTATCGGGTTCTGAAGACGGATATTTTGGTAAGCTCAGATAGTAGTTTTTTTTTGGCAAGGGAGGTGGGGACTGAGTCAGGAAGAGTAGAAAGTTAATTTTCTACTCCTTGGACAAAAAAATGGGCATTTGGGACATTTTGTTTCCTTGGGAACTTTAACCGCCTTCAATTTACGAAGCATACAACCCGCAGTGTGCGGGCACTTATACCCGTGAACACCCCGGGCCCCTGAGCGTTTATCCGGCCCTGCTACCGGGAAAAGTCAGGGAATTTCTGACACATCTACTAATCACTCAAACGTAGGTAACCCTGATCTTCCAACTTTTTACTCACTCAGTTCATTTTTAGGACTTGTCATATTTTAACCAGCTACTACAATTGCATTTTTCCATAATTTCATCTCTAAACACGTCCAAAGTTTAATGAAAGTCAGCTTGTTTTAAACAGAAAAAAGGGAGGATTTTGTTCGAAGATCAGGGAAAGTTAGGGCACTAGACAATTTGGGAGTCAGAGAAACGCCAGGGAATTTAAAATATGGCAACTCTGATTATTGGTCCGGAGGGAAATACCAAGTTACCGGTAATCTAGGATTGTGCTAAAGGTCCAAGAAAATATATGAGGATTGCGCGAATAGAAACCTTAACATCTGCCAATGGAATGCGCGCATAAAGTTAATTTAAGGTAGGAGTTTGGCAAAACAGGAAATAGTTGGAAAATAAACGCATTTTTATGTTAACGTTAGTTTAGCTTAGTTTGTTGACAAGTCATCCATGTCTTACCCTCTGATGATAAATGAAGTGAAAAGATCTGAATAATGGTCGTGGGTATAAAGAACTTTCCTAACTTTTCTCGGAAAAAATATTCAATCGAAACGAGGCAATGTTGGAATGCTCACACGGCGTCGAAACAGCGCATGGGCCTTTTAAGCTCTATTATTCGATGCCACGATTATTCTAACGCGAGCTCGAACAATCGCGCCGAACACCGTGTGGCTGGCGTTAAACGTAAATTAGCGCCTGCAAGACTGTCATGATACTTCACGCATTGCACCAAATAGCACGGTCGGCGCGGCGCGGCGTAAGGCCCATGTTAGCGCCTACAAGACTGCATGCATGCTCATTCGGCGTTTTTCCTTAGCACGGCAGAGCTATCGTCACGAGTTTCATGACACTACACTAAAAGAGATCACACGTGACATTTTTTCGACACTTTAAACTCCGGCCTTTGCGGAATAAATGACTTCCTGCAAGGGCCGGAGTCTCCCGGCGAGATTAGCCGCTTCCGAAAGTCAATGCCACACGAGGGTGCCGGCCCGTGGCTGTTGTCGGTGAACTCAGTGCAGTGACTTCATTGGTGGCGCTGGCTGGGACTTGGGAGCCGTGCGAGTTTTAATGAGGCAACTCATCTTGCGCTTCGCACGATGCAGACACGATAGTCGAATCGCGAAATTCAAATTTCAAGGAGGCCCGGTACACGGCATGCGGCATGCGGCATGCCATGCCGGCGCTTTAACCACCTCCGTCTCGACGCGCCGCCGCACAGTGGATCGAGTCCATAGGAGAGGTCGGACATGCAATTTTTGACTAAAATTTTAAATTTTGATGCTTAATTTGTCACATTTTACATTTCAAGGGGTGCTTCATGTGGAAAATTTCACGAGGAAACCAATGAAACTACTTTAGAACCTCAAAGTTTTGTATAAGCGGAGTTATAAGCGTTTAAAGTTTCCAAATTTTGTCCGACCTCTCCTATTGACTCAATCCACTGTGCGCCGGTGCGGTGAAAACGCACGAATGCTCTGCCCCAGCCCAGTCAGCTTGGCGTCGCGCTAATCGAAGACAGTTCACCAAGAGCCAGAAAAAATATGGGACCGTGGCGAAATCCTCACCCATGAAAATTGGCGTCCCGCGGGTTTTTCATGAAAAAATTAAAAAAGGCCTTACTATTCCTTTAAGGATTTTTTTAGGCAATACGATGAATATTTTGTGAAAATTTCGAGACGTGATTTTGTTCGGGTATCCTTTTAGAAAATAGAGCAAGAACGGCGATTTTAAAACACGTCAACCGGAATATGCATTTTTGCAGTTATACTGTCGTTGTGCACATTAGTTTAAACTTTCCGCTCAAAAAAAAGAAAAAAAAGAAGTTCGAACGTTAAACTGATATCGGTATATTTTAAGATGGAAGAATTTTCCTGTGTGTTGCTTTTTTCGGACACATGATTAGAGGTGCCTTGCATCAGAGAAGGAAGGAAGTGTGCGTGAAATGAATCAAGCTCCCTTTATTTGTCTAACGTAAAATTTGTTCTCAATACTTAATTTTTGTCAAGTACAAACGTCTGCTGTTCAAAAACAAAAGAAGTATTAAAAAGGAGTTACCTCTTTCCGAAGTTGTCTTTGGACTCGTCTCGGAACAGGGTGTTGAAGTTGAATTCCATGTTTTCGATGAGATGCTTTACAATTTGCCTGGAAAAAAAATTGAATTAGAAAGAAAAAGCTTCAGTAAAAGTGGATTGGTATAAAGTTAAAAACTAGGTCTCTTATATCCACCAGTTTTTACATCATGCACATGTGCATTGGGCTGACAGATTACCTATTGAAGGTGTTCATAACACGACGGTTTCAGTCTCAAGTAAAACATGAAGTTACAGGTTTCAGTCAGACCGCAGGATTATGTTTAATGGATCAAAATGAGACTTTTTACTATCTCTAAAGTTTTTTCTGTATCCCCCCTCCCCCTTAGTTGGAGCCACGGTACCCATAATTTTCGGTAGAATCATCCATCGTTCTCTATAAATCTTGTCGATCGCCGTTAGGCATGGACTAAAACTCATGAAAATGGCTTTATCCTCTAATTATTGGTGCTGAATTCGTGTATGTCTCAAAACATCGAAATTAAAATGGCGAACAATTATGAAAGGTAATCATTCTCACATAACGATGACTTTTCGAAAATTTTGGAGGAGTGCCGAAGTCTCGACAGGGGGTATTTTTGGAATAAGTCCATCGAAGTAAAAAGTATCATTCGGACCCAAAGAGCTCGCTCCTGCAGCAGGGGCGTGGCGTGAATGATCGATTATCGATATGTCCCCATTTGAAGCCATGGTAAAGAATCGATTATTAAGGTGTTCGCTGCGAACACCCCGTTAATCGATCCTTTTCCATAGATTTAAATGGCAGATCAATCGATGTATCGCAAAGTACGCCATGTCTTTTTCAACCATCTCTGAACTCATAAAATATTTGAAACACGGGCATCTTTTCATTATGAATATTAGAGTCCCCTCTCGAAATCATCTGGAAGGATATTTAAGGGGTTCGGAGGACAATAGGCGCATCAGTGAAGTTTTTGAAAAAATTAGTTATCATATTAAACTAGTTTTTATACACATTCTGTGAAAATCTCGCTCCCAGATTCCAATTTTTAAGCATCAAAAAGTCAGTTTGAACTTTCTTCCCGCCATAAAGATTGATGTAATTTCGAAACTTCAAACATACACTGCAAAATAACACATTTGATCTAGAGCCCAGACTCTTGAAAACATTGTCAAGAAAAAATACTCTTGATTCAATCAGATTTTTGCCTAAATCAAAAGGAAATCCGCTCAAATTAAGAGGCTTGGTTCTTGATTTAAGCAAAAATCCGATTGAATCAAGAGTATTTTTTCTTGTCGATGTTATTGAGAGTCTGGACTCTAGATCCAATGTGTTTTTTTTTCCAGTGCATATTTCTCGAAACAGCAAAAACTGCACGTATGCGCCTTGTCCTCCAAGCCTCTCATTTAATGAGAACGAGAAAAAAATGAACCCCTCGATTCCATAGAGTAGCGCACACAGCGGTGTTTACATTCTTTCCGTGACATAAATAACACTGAGGATTCAATCAGCTGCACCGCCAAGTGTGTAACTCTTGCTTTGGAGACGGTAAACGTATGAGTCACGATTCGTGTAAGTTGGGTTGCGAAAAATGAAATAAGCCAGTAATCGGCTGCTCAAATTTAGATCACCCGGTCGCTGGTTTCTATGATTTGTAAATGAGGCATGCTTTGCAATTTGCCTATCACTTCGTCGCTCCTCTGACGTAAGGGCGTATCTCGATTTTGACATGAGCCCTGGAAAGCATAGAGTTATATGGACAACAGGGCTCACGTGAAAATCGATATACGCCCTTACGTCAGAGGGGCGACGACTTTACCTCATCACGAGCTTGCGTCTTCCAGAAGCTATTTATACTCTACTGCCGCGCTAAGGAAGAACGTCGCATGAACATTCGAGAGTTGCCAAATTTCCCCGAATAAAACTTGTATTTTTGAAGAAAGTTATGCGTATTTTTCCTTAAAATTCTCCGATATTTTAGATTAAATAGGGAATAAACTTGTCTGAGAAATTGGGAAAAAAAGTTCAGAATTTCCTCAGTAAATTTGTTTGTTATTAAAGGAAATATGGCAACGCCTGGAGGGTCGTACGGCGTTTTTCCTTAGCGCGGCAGTCTGAGCTGCATTAGTCTCAGCTGCGATGCGCATCTTAATTTACGGTTACTACTGCGAATAGTTCACATTTCACTCAATATCGTGGCGTGCTTTGCGATAAATCGATTGTTCCACTATTTAAACCTGTAGAAAAGGATCGATAAACAGGGTGGTCGCAGCGAACGTCTGAATAATTGATTCTTTGCCACAGCTTCAAATGAGGATACATCGATAAATCGATTATTTACACTTCGCCACTCATTACACTTAAACACTGTGAATCCAATAACTTACATTTGCTTACAAAGTTAAATTGGATTACATTTTGCAATGAGAAACCACTATCTTTGGCTCCTCTGTAAAATCACCTATCTGAGTAGGGAAACCAATGGCATATATGTTGTTTCTAAAATGAGCCATAAATAGTGGTTCCTCATTGCAAAATGTGGTCCAATTATTGCTACTGCATCGGAGTGTTGTCTATGTTGCCTATCCACTGATTGAAGGGACGTCTCTTTTGAAATCAATTGCAACAACATTGAAATAAATTGCGATGATGAATTTGCAGGTTTTTTGAAATTTGATGAAGTTCGTACGTGTTTAAGTGGAAACTCCTGAGTGAAGTGAACACGAGAAACCGAACAGTTATTGGAGGAGATATGACAAAATAACCGAATCTTGTAAAATACATGTGTTTAAATGGAAAATACTGCCAGATTTCGTCACTAGGCGGTGCATTTTCTCACTTTTAAATCTATTTTCATACTATTTCCCAAGTGACAAAAAAATACTGCGAAGTCAGCACTTTAAGCACTCTTCGACGAAGCAATAAAAAAAGTCCGGGAAAATTTTCCATTGTTGTATTTCAGCAACTTGTATTTTAGCAGATTAGATCATTTTGTCATATCTTCTCGAATTATTGTTCAATTCATGAACCAAGGGTATCCTCGTGTTCAGTCCACTCAGTAGTCTCCATGCACTTAAACACGAAATCCACCGAATTTCAGACATCTGCAAATCCTCTGTTGTAAAAATAATGTATCAATCAATGAGAAAACTCACTTTGGATAGTTGTCGACATGATCACAGAAAGTTAAACCCGGGACAGCGCAAGTTGGCGTTTGACCTTTGGGCGCCGGGATGAATTTCTTTGGTGAATAGTAAGATTGTGGGTATGAGGAATAACACGGGCCGTAGCTACCACCACAATATGCCCTGCTCGCCGGAATGCATAATATTACCGCCACTATCACTCTAAAACACATCTGGAACAGAATTTAAGAAACACATTGAAAAATACAAAGAAAAAAGGGGGAAAAGTATGTCAAAAAACTCACGAAGTCGCGAAGGAAGCTTTGCTTGTTTTTCCAGCACTGCCGTGCTAAGGAAGAACGCCGTATGAGCCTTTAGGCGTTGCCAAGTTTCCTTCGATAAAAACCGAATCTACTTGGAAAATTGTGAACATTATTTTCCAAAATTTTCAGATAATTTTGTACGCTATTTAATATAACATTTTTGAAAAATACGTACGAATGTTGTCACAAATACATGTTTTATCAAGGGAAATTTGGCAACTCTCGAATGTTCATACGCCGTTTTTCCTTAGCACGGTAGAGTTACTCTGTTGACTCTCTACGTAGAGACATTTCGGACTGTAAAGACTGTACAAAATACGCTGATTTGTATCGGCCGAACTGTTCGCGTAAATAACCGTGCTTCGGTTTACTCAACCGAGCTTTTTCTAAGGTTCGGTTTGGTTTGGAAGACCGGTCGTATGGACCGAGGATATGGTTACATGAACCGAATATTGCTGCTGACATAGAAAACCTTAGTTATATGGTTCGTTTGACCTAACTTTTCATCTCAGATGCGCGAGATGCGCATTTCTGCAGTTTCGCCATCGATATCGGAATACCTTTTCTGTGTCTTGCTTTCGACGATTTTGAAAAAATTATACCATTAAATATATTGCACGCTGGTATAAGGGTAGTTCGGATATTCACAGGGATCTTGTAATTCTTGGAATGGAGACCGTCTCGCAGTTTATCACTAAATTCGCTACAAATTACGAGCCGACGCCATTCCCATCCAAATGTTGAAGCAATCCAACTTCCAGATAACTCAAACGAGACCAGACGCCTCAAAAGGGTCAGACCTGGGGGCTGGCCAGTTCCCACGGTTTAATATATCTAAAGCATATATCTAGAGCATATATCCTCCCTCAGTTTCATACTGGTGCGCATTAGAGTTCAAAAAATTTAATTTTGACTCTAATTCTAATTTTTGGTATTTTCTTGGCTTTGTTTCCCCGCGAAATGGTGTGGACCCAGCACCATTTTTCCACCTTGTTATATACAGTTCGGGCCACTTCTTAGTGTTTGATTTTTTCATATATCTAGATATATGCTTTATTTGTATGTTTATACCTTGCTCCTACATACATGTAAGTAAGTTATAAGTTTCTCAGTAGCCCGTACATCGTACAATCATCATTATTTAATATTTAATGACAATGTGTAAAATTCTCGTGCAAGAAGTTCACAATAAAACACACACAAAAATTCACATTTACAAAAGAAATTAAATATATTATGAAACATGCTCCGAGGATTGAGAGATGGTAGACTCCGGCACGCGACTGGACTGATCGATCGCAGACGGAAGTTCAAATTCAGGGTAAAATATCTCATGAATATGGGTCGATATCGGATGCATCCTCGGGATTTCACACAAAGCGACGAAAAGGACTGAATTAGAATCAGTTCCTGTTTTAAATTCCTCCTCAAACCCAAGCGTAAATACCCCACACTCACGCTGACCAACGCTCTTGAATGGTAATGAACTGCTGGAGGAAAGAGGTTATCTTTGGGATTCACTGTCCTTTTCTTTTTTTTTCGTCCGTCTGAATTTTAAACGGGAATTCCCCAGCGTGCTCCTACATGACCGCGCGTTGTTCTGACCATCTTCCTATACTGCCGTACTAAGGAAGAACGCCGTATGAACCTTCGTGCGTCGCCAAATTTCTTTTGGTAAAATACGAACTTTCAGGACAACTTGTGAAAATTTTCCGGAGAATTATCTGTACACTGTAATCTGAAGTATCAGAAAATTTGAAATAGAAATCCTCATTATTTGTTTCAAAAATGAGTATTTTTAGAGGGAAAATTTGGCAACTCTCGAATTTTCATTCGGCGTTTTTCCTTAACACAGCTGTAAGGTACACCACAACTTTTGAAAATTGATAGTCTTGACTGTGTGTTCGAGGATAAATTGAGTGCACTTCAAGAATAGCGATTTGCACCCTGGTAAAAATTGGCAGTAGAATCTGTGTTCCAAAATACCATAGACCTACAGCCAGCTGTAAGATTTCCAATAGCTTCTATAGCCGGCTACACAATTTCTAATAGCCTGTTATAGCCGATGGCGATTAAGCAACAGCCAGGCGATAAAAAGTATGCTAAACGTTACTAATTACGGATGCTAGGACTTAGTGAGTTTTTGGAATACGGCTCTCTTTTTGGGCCGTAGTATCTTGATTTATTTTGCGAAGAAAGCTCCGTACTCTTGATGGATGCCTGCCATTACTAATATATAAGAGCGCCTTCAGTTTTGTATGATACTGTGCAATACCTCTTTTGTGAAATAGTTGCTTCAAGTGCCGTGGCAGGCGGGCAGCCAGCGCGAAACACGCATTGGCGCCTACAAACCTAACAGGGATACTTCACGCGTTGCGCAATGCGTGAAGTATCCCTGTTAGGTTTGTAGGCGCCAGTGCGTCGCCGCTCCGCTTTGTGTTAGGCTCTAATATTTCATCTGGCGGAGTCAGCGTTATTCAACTCATGATTTTGAAATGTTTGCACATCCTGAATGGATTATTCTCATTTTAATTGATGAAGAAAAATATGTATTATAGGAAAATATGATGTGTGTTTTGTAAATATTAAGGTGGTTCCGTATCAAACTTAATGATTTCCAAAGCACACGAATTTCTACACAATTTCTTATAGCTTTTTATAATCGATGGCGACAAAGCAACAGCCAGGCGATAAAGTGTGAAGCCCGGCGATAGGAACTATAGCCCGGCTGCATAATTTTTTATCGCTTCGTATAGCCCGCCTGTATGATTTTCTCCGCATTCTACAGCCAGCTATATGATTTTCTGTAGCCTTCTTTCGCCGGCTATGAGAATTCCTATGGTATTATGAAACGCAGCTCTTATCGCCAATTTTTACCGGGAAAACAATGTGTAAATAGTGATCAATCTTTATTTTTATTTTTTATTTTATTTATTGATTGAATAAAAGCGTAGTGCTCCCATCTACGCAAACGTGTACACGTGGGAGCATCCAGACTTTTCGAAGGGGGGGGGGCGGAAGGGAGGGTTAGAAAATTGTCGAAATTTTAAAGCATCCATCAAGCAGTTCGAGTCAATTTCGTCACGAGTAATTACCAAATACACGCGCTTTCACTTCCTCTTTCCTTTGTTCCTCCCTTCTTTCTTTCTTCCCTTTTTTCTCATTTTTTCGAGCGAATGGGGTGCCTCCTACGCCTACCTTTTGGATCCGCTTATGAGTGTGCAACCATCTTCAAATTTTCATCATAATGAACATACAAAAAAAAGTCAGTATATATAAAAACTAACTAAACTGCTAAAAACTGCTAAAAAAGATTTTATTATTTTTTATTTATTAAGTATTGATAATAACTTTTAGTGCAAGGAATAACCAAATATTGCGAGGAGGAAAAAAAGAAAGATGAAGAAAGAGAAGAGAAAGGAGAAGAACTGAAAGATTAGAAAGGAGAAGGAGAGGATGAGAGTGGAGAGGAAAAGGAGGTTGAGGAAAAAAAGAAGAGGATATGATGATGAAGGAGCATTTTTGTTACGTCATCTCTTGCCTTTTTCACGTGGCCGTTCAAGAATCGTTTTGCTGGATGTTACTCGATGTATCCTCTCTCTGCGTATCCCGGGTACTCTTAGGCCTTTAATCGTGAGTCAGCAATTTAGATAAAATCCTATCTCAACTGAGAGCAACTCCGGAAGCGAGCGATCGCAAATTCGCAATCTCTCCACTTTTCTGTCCGGGCGTTCGAGTCTCCCGGACCTTCCGATGATGCGCAAAAGGGCCCCTGGACAAGACTCTGAATAAGTCGTGGCTTGCCCCTGCTTTCGCTCAATTACGCCCAAGTTCGAAGGTACATATCGATGGTGAAAGTCGAAAACATGTATCTCGATTTGCAACGTTGCAGATTTCTTGTCAACTTTTATTTTTTCTGAAGGAAACTCATTTCTCTTGGCATTTTGTGTACCTTTTTCTGATGAAATTTAGAAAATTTTCCGGAAACTTTACAGGCTGCATAAAATATGCATGTTAGTAACCTATACAGCCGTGCTGAGGAAGAATGCCGTATAAACGATCATTACGTTGCCAAATTTCCTCTTTTAAAAATACGAATTTTGTGGAAAACCTGTGAACGTTCTCCATCCAATTTTTCAGAGAACGCTATTAGATCAAAATTATCTATATGTTTCAAGAGAAAATATTCATGACTATCTTCGAAATCAAACATTTTATTGGAGGAAATTTTGCAACTCTCGAATGAACATACTGCGTTCTTCCTCAGCACGGCTGTATAGGTGAAACATGTATAGTGATATTGACAATAATTTGGGAATGCGGGGCTTAAAAGAACGAAACATATTTTTGAAAAAAATTTGCCAAATCCAGAATGGAGACATGGAATTTTTGTTACAAGCGGCAGAGCGGCTCATTGGAACATGTTGTGAGTCACATACTTCGAACCAAATCGATGGCCAAAGTGCAAAACCACGTATCTCCGTTCGTGACGTCATCGGAACGAGTCGATGCAATTTTTTGAGAGCTTCTTTGATGTTTCTTTTCTCTCAGCAGAATATTCTTTAAAAATTTACAGCAAAAAAATAATAAACGAGGAGTGGGAATTTTGAAACACCGCGATAAAGATACATGATTTTTGCACTTTTGTCATCGACATTGATGCTATAACGTTAGATAACTACTTGATAACCTATTGGTGACGAATCAATGTCAACACGCGTGTTTCAATCCTATCGGGTTATCAAAATGATCGCAGAATGGATTTGACATTTTCATAAGCGACAGAAATGCTCTCACAATCAGTTTTTTCCTTCATCTCTTATTTCCTCGAAACGATAAAACGACTGTGGAGATTTTGATACGTTGCAATCGAAATGGATGTTTTTCAACTTTCACTGTTGATATTTAAT